TTTTTTTTCTATTGCTAGCTTCCATGCTTCTCTCAGCGAGGGACAGTTAACTTGCTCTTCGCGTAGGCGTTCAGCAGACGATAAGTCTGTGTTTACATAAACACTCGCCTTCTTCCCTTCCTCTTCGTTTTTCTCCTCCATAAGCATTAGCGGGGGGGGGGGAATCGACGCTGTCGTTTGACTGTGCATTGGCGAATAAAGTTTGTAAGTTTTCGCTTCCGTAATTATTTCTTTCTGCGTTTGGTTCTTCTGCCGCAGGATTAATCAACAGTTCGTATATTTCTGGAGTTATTAGGCAAGGCACATTTAGCTTATCAGTCACTGCAATTAATGTATCCACAAAATTAAATATATTGCTTCCATGATCTTTATGGTAAATAGGTACACGGCAAACTTTTGCTTCAATTGGTTGTCCGAAAGCAGGTGTTAGCAATATTTTACCTCCTTCTCTCTCCTCTAAATTTGGAATGAGCGATGAATGTACGATCGTTATCTGCGTTCCAGAGTCTACGATAGCTTCGATTTTCTCAGAGTTAATAAAAAAATATCTACTTTTTGCAGTGGTGGTTGAACGATGCGTTCTGCGAATTCAGATCGTAGATGGGATGAGTCTACTTTAGCTACGATGGCTTCTTCTTTTGATGTTCTGTTTGAATTTTTTTGAGTTTTGGAATCATCCTTTCCCTTCTTATTTACTGCAGTTTCGTTCTTTCTTCTTTTGTCTGGGCAATCTCTCGCGATGTGTTGATAATTTCCACAAATATAACATTCTTTTCTTCTCGCGTGAAATCTTTCGTGTTTTGGATATTCTTTTCTCATGGGTGGTGGAATATATTTGTCGTGTGCACATGTTGTATCCAGGAATCTCGGTGATCGCTTAATTCCATTTCGAACTTCGTCGAAAGATTTTCCTTTGGCCGTGAAATAAATATCACATTCTGTAGCTAATTCTTGAGGCTTCAGCCATTTATTTCCTTGGCGTATTGCGACGTGTGCAGCTGTTTCTTCATCTAATGCTTGGAATAATTTATCGGAAATAATTAACTCCTTGAGTGTTTCGAAATCCTTTACTTCTCTTGACTTGCAGTAATAGTCCCATGTAGCTGTTAGTCTTGAAGCGAACTGGATATGCGTTTCGCCGGAATAACGTTTAGTTTTTCTGAAGTTTTCTAAACAGGTTTGAGGAGTAGGTTGATATTCCTTCAGAACAAGAGTTTTCACTTTTTCGTAATTTTGCAGATCTTCCTCCTTTATATAAACAAGAACATTTGAAGCTTTTTCTCCAATTAATTTCAATAATATTTCTGATTTGTATTCTTCAGGAACCTTCTTGTGCTTAAATGCTCTTTCGATAGAATCGAAAAATATATTCCATTCTTCTGCTCTCTTCGGTACTGGTATAGTCAGTGTTTCTACTCCTTTGATCAGCTTGTCCAGGGAAATTTCGGTTTCTCGTTCTGTGTTTTGGTATTAAAGGTGTTGGACTTCTACTTCCTTCATTTTGAGTTGCTCGAATCTTCGCTAGTTCTATTTCGTGTTCTCTTTCTGTTCTTATTCTTTCTTCTTCCATTTGCATTCTTTCCATTTCTTCTTTTCTTTTTCTATTCTCCACTGTAGTAATCAGAATTTCTTTCACGAAATCAGCATCTTCGATGTATTCCTTGCTATTCTGGAGTTTGTGTTTCAGTTCTACCAGCTTCAAATCTGGGGATGCTTCTTCGCCAATTTCCAATAGAACTGTTACTAAATCCTCTTTCTTTGCGTTTTTGAACATTTTCTTCTATTTTCCTTTAGAATCAAGCCTTTCAAACTCTCGATTAAATAATTCTCACGTTTTTACTCTCTTTTGCAAATGAACACTTCTTTCGTTAGTTAGGCTTAACTTTACGCCTCTTCCGTTTTCAACGCTCTAAGCTTCTAACCTCTCTGGTTTTCTCGTAAGAGAGCGTGTTGTGATGACTTCACGTGGTTTAATAAGGCACCATTTAGCAAGACGAAACAAACATTTATTAAATATATAATTCAAAGCATAATATAATAGTTACTCAGAGCAGTACATCGCTCCTACCGCATCGTACAATCTACTACCTTCCTCTTCCGAGGCTAACATGCAACTCCTAATAAATACATCTTATTCTTCTCGAAGAAGAGCTTCCTGCGCCAAGCATGCTCTGTTGATCGCCAAACAGTCGCCAGATATCGCACTCTTTATTTCATAAATTACGGTTTCGTATTTTTAATTTTATAATTTCTGCATGCCATCTTACCAGATTTAAACTGATGATCTATAATTCAGAAAAACCGATAATCCGGAATCGCCGAAGTCCCGTGACTATATAACTTGTACATAAATGAATAAGGTTAATATTGGGTGAGGGAAAGTTCTGTTGTATTTTAAAGAAAATATTTGAATTCATTTATAAAAATATGTGTTTAATATTAATCAATTATATATGCTCCGTTATTTGTTACAACCTGTTGCCATCATTCCAGGTAACCTGTAAATTCGTGTTTGTTTTGTAGAAGTTCTCATCCATTGGAGTTAAAATAGTCAGCAACTGCCTTAGAAACACTTTCAAAAGACTTGAATTTTTTTCCCGTTAGATAAATTTTGCAGAGATCTGAACAGGTATGATAATCAGAGGGATGCAATGTCAGGTGAATACGGGGTGGGGGGGGGGGGTGACTAAGGATTTCCCATCCTAACGCAATTAGTTTTTGTAGTGTCACCACTGCAGTACGCGGGCGAGCATTATCGTGATGGAACACTATTTCTTTTCTGGACGCTAATGCTGGCCTTTTTTCTTTGATAGCTGCATTCAATTTATCCAGCTGATTGCAGTACAGATCCGCGTTGATGTTTTTCCCTGTTTCAGCAACTCGTAATACACTGGACCTTTCCTGTCCCACCACAAACAAAGCAGTACTTTTCGTTGATGGATACTTGGTTTTGGACCTGTTGCTGATGATGTTCCTGGTTTGCAGTAAGATTTTTTTCTTTTAATATTCTCGTAAAGAATCCACTTTTCATCTCCAGTAACCAGCCTGTCCAAAAACGGCTCCACATTGTGTCTAATCAGATGTGATGAACCACATTCTTACACGATCAGACAAATTCTTTTCCGTTAATTCATGTGGAACCCAAACACTTTGCTTTAACACAAACCCAAGAGATTTAATGTGATCTCCAACAGTTGTATGATGAATGCCAAACTCTTCTGCAATTTCTCGACTTATTAAATGTGGATTATTTTCCAACATGAATCGCAAAACATCATTATTGATCTTGGATGGTCGTCCAGATCGAACACTTTCTTTGAGGCTCAGGTCCCCGGAACGAAATTTGCTAAACCATACCGACATGTTTTTCCCTTTAAATATTACATGTAAATGATGAACAGTAAAAAAGGGCACCTTTTATATTATACAGCAGCTAAAAAAACAAAACAAAAAAAAATCCGATTGACTCACTAGCCAGATTTTTTTTTTTTTTTTTTTATTTTATTTACAAGAAAAATCACCTGCCTATTTAAAATAGGACAGAACTTTCCCTATAACCGGATAGCTGAAAGTTGAGTATGGTCAGGAAGACATTAAGACAATGGCTTCACTTCACCCTTCCAAGCTTTTACGCATATTAATAGGTTTTGGAGATGAGGATTTACAAACAGGGATAGAATGGTTCAGTTGGATTTACAGTTTTTTGCTATCATTTTATAGCCTAAGAAAATTCAGAGTATACCACATCCGTTGAAAATATGACACAAACTGCGACACAGCATGAAACGAGATGAATTCTATGAATTTGCTGAGGCAGGTAGTCTGAACTCAAGCCTGAACATATAGCCTAAAAGTTTTTAATTTCTGTAAGCTGCGAATGTTATATTTATTCTATAATAAAATACGAGGAAGATAAAGAACCCACATCTGAATTCACGATTTGAGTAAGTAAAATATGTAGATATATATTTCTAGCTATATATGGACCACACTCACCCTTTAAACTACAGTAGGCTTCAATTTTATGAAAGGGAGAGGCAGAAGAAAAATCACAATAAAGTGAAAGTTATTTTCAGTTCTAGTCAAACACCCCTTTACGGGGACGGTGGACTTTAAAATAGCTAAAATTCAACCAAAATATTGAACTTTTTTTTTAACTCTCTTAATATTTCAAATATTCTAATTTTTAAAGAAGTTACAAGCATTTAAAATGTGTAAACGGCGTAAACTTTGCTCTTTAAATTTTGGAGAAAATGTTAAAAAAATGTATTTTAACAGTTAATTACTGATGTTATAATTTATATATTTGACCAAAAAAAGCCTGTATTTCTTTAAAAAAAAAAAAAAAAAAAAAAGAGGCTAGAAATGTCAGTATTGACAACTATTAATGAAAACTTTGGTTATGTAAATGCTATAGGCGTAGAACAGGAGGTAGGTAACTCGTTTTCCTTACTCGTTGCAAAAAAAGCGTGATAAACGTCGCTTGAACCAAAGCAAAAAGAGAAGTTTACCTGCTTGGAAAAAAAAACAAAAATAGTAAAAAAAAAAATGGTAAAGCATTAAAAAAATAATGTAAATGTAACAAATGAAGGTAAAACATGATGCGGGGAAAATTCAAAAGTTTTATTGGACATAATTCGTAAATTGTTTCTACCTCTAACTTTGAATCACATACCAATTTGCAATATGTTTATTTTTCTCAAATTTAATATTATGAGATTAAAAATAGTTAAATGATAGGAAAATGTTAGTACAGTAGGGCTAAATTTTATGAAAGGGGGAGGCAGAAGAAAGACATGATAAAGTGAAACTTATTTTCAGTTCTAGTCAAACGTTCAGCAATGTTCTGCTTACAAGCAGTGCCTTTCGCAATAACTCTAGGACTGTATTCATTATTAACATACAGTGGTTAGATGCAACAAAGACATGTTGTTCATTAAATACTGTATACTAAAGCATGAAGAGTAAAATTTCATTCATAAAGGAACTACACTTCATACCTGATTAGTTCTGGAGCATAAACTATTGCATCTACAATAGAATCCCTTATCATAGCCCTATCTTGTTCGTGAATAGAAAATAAAATCGGTTTCCCAGGCTCTTGTTCTTTGTCTTGCCAAAACTGTCCAACCATATTTTTTAAATAAATAACACCAGCTTGTCTCACAGGCATTTCTAATGTATTCATCATAACTACTTGTAAAAGGGAGGGTGCAAAGCCTATAATTTTATGAACCTGAAAAAAAATAATAAAACATTAAAATATATAAAAAGAGATACATGTATGTAATAAAAATGACGTTAGAGTAGAGAGAACAGTACTCCTTGTATTATTGAAAAGTTGTTGTTTCATTTATAGTAGGTAGCCTGACTAGTTGAATGTTATGGAAACCCTATTATGATGTAATCAGTTGCATGATTGCGGTAAATTTGTAAGGGCTTGTGGTGTGTGTGTGTGTGTCGGTTGGGAAGTCTATTGCTTGTTTTGTGGTTTAGAGAGTAAAATGGCAGAATGTGGTATGATTTAAAGTTTCTGTAGGATTTGGAAAGAAAGGGGAGAAGGGCATTACTTGACTGGTGTATAAATGAAGGTTTACTTAGTAGCCATTATTAGGTGTCTTGTTTGTAGCAATATGCGTATGGTCAAATGTTGCTACGGCTATATATGTTGCTATATTTGGATATTTTTTACTCTTATTTTGTGAATTAATGTAGTGATGCCAATATACAGATCCTAGTTCAGATAATTTTAGGAAGGTTTTGGATGCTGTTAAGGAATTTTGTTTGACTGAAGATATGTTAATTCGTAAATAAGGTAAGTGGGTATTTCCTTTGTGTAGTTTAAAGATCAATTTCCTTTTTTATGCTATTTCATTATTTGATTTAAAATGTAGTTTATTGAGATTATATATTTTTTGTTGGCTGCTCCTTTGACTTTTTAAATGAATATAGTTTGACGTGTACATGGACAAAATCAAGGGCCAAGTTTAGTTTGATGTGTACATGCCAAGTTTAGTTTGATGTGTACATGGACAAAGTCAAGGGAGTGCACAATGCCAAGTTTGTACAATTCTCTGATGTTTTTTTAACCATCCAGCACACGCTTATGTGCAAAATTTACAACAAATTCAGTTTTTAATGCACATTTTTTGCATATTGAAGCTGAGACGTCTTCAAGTCATTTCTATTCCTCCTTTCTACCCTTCCCCACATCATGGAATGTGCCAACAGTAAGTCATTTGCCTTTTTTTTTTTTTTTTTAAAACTAGGCTTTTGTGCTACGATGCAGCGTTTTCATAAAATTTGCGACACATGCGTGGTCATGTTTTAAAATTTGGAAAACATTCTTTTCTCAAATATTTTGTCATTTTGTGTTATTAATTCGTGTGTATTATTTTAATTTGAATACATTTGGCTCTGTAAATTTTATACCGGATTTCATGGCAAAAAAAAAAAAAAAAAAAAAAAAAAAAAAAAAAAAAAAAAAAAAAAATATGTGCAACTAACTGATTTTGCTCGGATTCTTCAAGAATTATCTGAAGAAAAGGAACACAAGGAAACCTTTGGATGGGAGAACAATAGTGATTTCCATTCTTATTTTCTTTTATTTCTATTTTTTAGAAATAAATAAAAACATTAAAGTTAGTTTAAAGTGTGTTTTTGTAACCAGTAAGAAGTAAATTTCCTTGCAGAAGTAAGTAATGCTAAACTTACTTTTTTCCTACCAAGGCGTTTTCCTTTTTTACTGTCTATACTTGTCTTTGGTGAATATTAAAATTAGCTTCGATTTTAAAATATAATTATTAAACAATAAATTTAAAATTTTCTATAATAAAATACATCATTGCATTTCCATCTCACTAACATACGAACTTTAAAATAATTTACTTACCGTATTTGACGGCATATAAGATGCACTTTTTTCCCTAAATTTGGTCTCAAAAAAGTTACCTGCGTCTTATACGTGAAGGACACAGGTTAACAATACTGAATGCTATTTTTAGCCCGGATATAGGTCTAGACACACATAACCTTTTTTACATCTGCCATAATTATTTTACGCATGCGTGAAATACCTGTCGCCATAAAGTGACAAAGCTCGAAGCTGATTCGAAGTTCAAACAGGTTCGACGGTTACATTACGTTCATGGATCCTTTCCTTCTTTGACTCAGCCGACACAAGTGTTGGTATCGGTGCTTAAAACTATTTGTTTAAAAAACATACCCTGTGAAATATGACTACATGAAACAAGAGATTAAGCTATACAATTCAGGATAAACTAGGAGTGTTAAATTACGCCAAAGTGCATGGAAACAGAGCAGCAGCAAGGCATTTCGGTCCTATATCTATCGAAAAAATGATACGTACTTGGCGATTGCAGGAAGATCACTGAAGACTGCTAAAAAACAAAAACATAACCTTCGATGCTCAGCTTCATCTTCGCCTGAACTTGAAAATGCCGTAAAAGTGTGGGTGATAGATAAGAAGAAATCTGGGATAAGTGTTTCAACCAAAATGATAATCAATGAGGCGAAAGGATTTGCAGAAAAACATGGGAATCAACTTTTCAGGGTCTGAGGGCTGGTGCTTCAGTTTCTTGAAAAAGCAAGGCTTGGGCTGGTGCTTCTGTTTCTTGAAAAGGTAAGGCTTATCAATGTGCACAAAAAGAACTATTGCACAGAAAATACATGCAAGAAAACTTCTTTTGAGCTCGGTCATAGGAAATATGGATGAAATTCCACTCACATTTGATGTACCATCCAAGAAGACTGTGAATATTATAGGGTCTAAATCAATAACCATAAAAACCACAGGTCATGAAAAAACCAGATATACGGTAGTTCTCACATGTTGTGCCGATGGCACAAAACGATCGCCGTTTTTCATATTCAAAAGAAAAACTTCCAACGGGTGTAATTGTTCATGTTCATCCGAAGGGCTGGATGGCCGAAGCTGGAATGAAACTGTGGTTACAGAACATATGGGCGATGCGACCTGAAGGACTCTTAAGAAAACCCTCTCTTTTTGTTTTGGATCAGTTTAGCACCCATAGAACTGAAACCATAAAAAATAAAGCTAGAGAATTAAAAACCCAGATAGCTGTCATTCCTGATGGACTGACTAAAGTGCGAGAACGATGGAACAAGTGGATAGGAGAGCCACATTACGCCCTCACACCCTCAGGTAGAATGAAGTGGCCCTCTATTTCACAAGTGTGCGAGTGAGTAAAAAGATCTTGGGAGGATGTAAAGGCTGAAGTAACTGTTAAGTACTTTCAGAAGTGCGGAATCAGTAATGCTCTTGATAGAAACAGAAGACGACGCATTATTCGAAGAAGGTGATACGAATGATGATGGAAACAGTAGTGATGACGATAGTGGAAAGGATTTTTATGGTTTTGAAAGTGATTAAAGTCTAATTTCATGATAGGCAACGTTTTCCTTGAATCTGTGTTTTTTGTTGTTTCTGCTTTATTTTGTATTATGTTTGATTGCTTACCGTTCATTCATTTATTCATCATTGAAATTTACATATCATGTTCAAAATAGCTTGCCGTTTGTTAATTTTCCTTAATAAAAATATGTTTGGCAATTGCAGTCAATGATTGTTTATTGGCTTTTACAAAATGTGAGAACTAAAAGAAACCACATTTTAAGTTATTGTGGTACCACGCTATCGCGCAGACTATTGAAACTTTTTCCCCTTGTGTGTCGCCTTTTAAATAAGGGTGCATCTTATATGCCGTCAAATACGGTATATTTGAATGTGATATCATTTGTATTTTGCAATAATAAGATTAATATTTTATTTTTTAACAAATTTATTATGAATATTCACTTATTTCTGTCGTTTTTCATGCCAAAATCGGTAAAATAACGGGTGTCATAAAAAACACGATGCGCACGTGCTCAAGTAAAATTGCCAAGCATGCGTACTGGAAGGTTAAGTGAAAATAGGTCAATGTGCACATGGATACAAAGTTTGTGCAATTCTTTGTCTTGTTATTTTGGCTTTGTGTAGCGCAAAAATAGGCGCTACACAAGCCAAAATAACAAGTTAAAGAATTGAACAAACTCGGCATCCATGTACTGCTAAAAATTGCCAAGGGGTACCTGTAAATATATTTTTACCAAAAATTCTAAGCACAAAAGATTTTAATACCATTAGTATAATCTTCTGCACGTTCCCCTTTTACTTAATTTTACTACATGAAAATTTAAGAGTAAAAATTAAATGTCATACACCATTTCTAAGGCAAGGGCAAAAAAAAGTATTGCATATACGATATTTGGCATTAGAAACATCTTTTAGCAATTAGAATATGCATAGTTATAAACTGCATACATGTGAAATTAGATGTAAATTCGATATATAAGTAAACGAGCATAGGATTATTTGTTAAAACGGCCACCTCATCTGCTTTAGAAAATTATTAATTTTCAAAAAGGAAACATCATAGTAAATATCAAAACAATCTGAAAACAAAATCTGTTTCAGGTAAAAATTCTAGGAATTATACCCAAGTCTGCCGTCTAATCTTTTGATTTCAGTTACTTAAGCAAAGAATTATCAAAATATACTACAGTATAAAGTCTGTAATCCAGAATGATCTATAATCCAGACCTCAAAGCCACAAACTTAAGCAAGTGCGTAAAGCATTTACGCATCCGTGTTTAATGTGTGCGTCTGCTACGCATGCACATAAAGCGTTTACCAAAGTGCGCTTCCGATAGAAAGTGACAGAGAGGTTATTGAAAACGAAAAAATTTCGATTGACAAGTTAATCGGTATTCTCAACACAGCAATTACAGGACCTATCTTATTATTAACAAGAAATTATGTCTGTTTATAGAATTAAGGAGAAAGTATTAGCACAAGAAACGAAGCAACTTAAACAACTCACATTGAAAGAAATGTTAATAAAGTAAACAAATAAATATTAATCTTAGTTTTTATAAATTTTGATACCCTTTAGATCATATCTGCTCTTTATTTCATAAATCACGGTTTCATATTTTTAATTGCATAATTTCTGCATGTCATCTTACCAGATTTAATCCGGAATCTCCGAAGTCCCGACGAGTACGGATTACGGACTTTGTACAGTATATACTAAATTATATCTAGCATTACTAAATAAGTATACTTTTGGTATCTAAAGTACTAAAAGTAAAGTAGTAGTACTCTCACTAAAAGCTGGTGAATGATGATTCTTCACCACCAGGATTTGGCAA